ATGGCCAACATGGCTGATTGGACCCATTCTAAGTAGTTTGATCCATCAAACTTAACAGTTGTAATCTGGAAAGTGTTCTCAGTCATGTTACCTGAACTAGTTCCAAAACACCCTTCCCTTGGCTCTTAAACTCCATTCTTGGTTAGGGGTTAATCAAAAACACCTTCTAATCATTGTAATAGTCGGCCTACTGGGTCTGAAATTAATAACAGTAGGTCTAGAAGCAGAATTCAGATTCAGTAATTAAAAGAACCTTCCAATTCAATGTATCACTGTATCAGTCAGCCTACTGGTTCTGGAAACTAATAACAGTTGGCCTAGAAACAGAAATCAGATTCAGCAGTACTGGGTCTTTGAAATAGAGAACAGAAACAAACTTAAATCACTGTATCAGTCAGCTTGCTGGTTCTAATAACTGTCGGCCTAGAAACAGAAATCAGATTCAGCAGTACTAGGTCTTTGAATACAGAGAACAGAACTCCTAAACAGAGAACAGAGAACAGAAATCTGATACCAACCAAACTTAAATCAAGAGAGGCAAGTCTAATCACTTATCCGGACACAGTAACAGTCCTGGATTTTAGGGTTTTCTCTTAAAACCCTAAATCAGAAAAAAAGGTAATTCTTTTATAGCCGTACCTTTCAGGTTAAGCTATCCTTGCTGCCGACCTCAAGAAGGAATGAAATCTTACCCAGAAATTTCTGAAAAAACTGATCTTGATTCAAAAGTCCTCTGGAAATTCTGATCACCACCTTCAGTCTTGCTCCAAAACTGATCTTGATTCTGATCAACCCCAGAAAATTCTGAAAACAAACTGATCTTGAGAAAATCCTCTTAGAAAACTTCAATCTTGATCAAAGAACTAATCTTGATCACTCAATTCTTCTCTGATTCTTCCTGATTACAAGGAGCACTCTCCAATCCTTGGACAGTTGCTGAAGACTTCTTGTAACCTCCAAGAATTAGCCGAATGAAGGATCTTTCTAAACTTTCAGCCCTAAATAATTCTCATGTGGTCGGCTGAATTAATTCCACATGAGAAACCCTAGATTGAGTACTCTGATACCAAGTAGTTGTACAAGATTGCAACTAGTCTTAGGTTTTGAATAGAAACTAAAAGAAGAGGAGAAGAGAAGAGGAGAAGAGAAGAGGAGAAGAGAGAAGGAGAGAGAGATTTCTGAGAAAAGAGAGAGTGGTTGTGTTAGAAACAGCCGCCCCACTCTTAAATTTATATACATAGTATCATAATTGTAAAAGGACTGACTTGCTACATGGCAAGATAACTTATTGCTTAAATAGAAAGATAATAAGATAAGATAAGATAAAGCTGAAATACATTTATCAAAAAAAAAAAGATAAAGCTGAAATACATTTATCAAAACAAAAAAAAGATAAAGCTGAAATACATTTATCNGAAATACATTTATCAAAAAAAAAAAGATAAAGCTGAAATACATTTATCAAAACAAAAAAAAGATAAAGCTGAAATACATTTATCAAAAAAAAAAAAGAAAAAGCTGAAGTGGACTAATCCTAATCATAACTAATTGCTGACATACGAACAGTGGGGACTACACTAGTGGGGTCCACATTAGTGTTCTCTATAGGTTTGTTAAAGGGTTGGAAAGTAGGAAGGGAGAGGGTGGTGTTAACTCATCTACAATTCGCGGATGACATCATTATTTTTTGTGAGGCTGGAGATGAGTTAGGAGCAAGAAACCTAAGAATGTTGGTAAAACTCTTTGGAAAAGTGACAAATCTAAGAGTGAACCTTAATAAGAGTCAGGTGGCAGAGATCAATTTAGCACAAGAAGGTGTTAATGTGGGGGCTGAGGAGCTAGGATGTTTAAGAAGTGACCGGCCACTCAAGTATTTAGGTTTCCCCCTTGGTGCAAATCCTAGAAGCATAGGTTTTGGGAATCCAATTGTGGAAAGGTTTGAAAAGAAACTCACTACGTGGAAGAGGAATTACATTTCTCTGGGGGGAAGGATTACTCTTTTTAAGTCTACCCTAGCAAGCCTTCCAGTTTACTACCTCTCGGTGTTCAGCATGCCTCAAGCTGTGGGAAAGAAACTAGAGAGAATAATGAGGGACTTTTTGTGGGAACTGGGCGAGAAGAAGAAAGATAATTTAGTAAGATGGGATCTAATATCTAGGAGGAAAGAGTTTGGAGGATTGGGGTTAGGAAGTTTGAAGGAAAAGAATGAGGCTCTACTAGGGAAGTGGTTATGGAGGTACCCACAAGAAATAGATAGGTTGTGGCACAAGATTGTGACTAGTATTCATGGTCCCTTTGAAAATGGTTGGGATGCTGGAGTGTCTTACAGGGTTCTAGTGCTTCACCGTGGAAAGCGATTCACAAACTCCTCCCATTGTTCCTCAATCATGTCAGGTTTGATCTCAACTCAGGTAACAAAGTTAAATTTTGGGAAGATGTATGGGTGGGTGACTCTTCTTTAAAGACTTTATTCCCATCAATTTATGCCCTGTCTTGCCTTAAGAGCAAACCGGTTGCTGATTTCCTGTCCCCTTCTCCTTCACAGTCTGGTTTTGCTTCGAATCTGGGTCTCCGCAGAAATGTGCAAGACTCGGAGTTGGATTTGGTGTCTTCTTTTATTCAGTTGCTTGATGGGGTCTTTATTGACCCTGCTAAGAAAGATACTAGAATCTGGATTCCTAACCCCCTTGGAGCTTTCAGTTGTGTGTCCTTTTTCAAAACCTTGACATCTTTTCAACCCGGGGTCCAATTTCCAGTCTGAGAAGTTTGGTGTTGCCCTATTCCCCCTAAAGTGGGTGCTTTTTGTTGGGAGGCTTACCATGGTGCAATTAACACCTGTGATCTGATGCAAAGGAAGAGGCCTGGTTGGTGCCTTTCACCTAATTGGTGCTGTTTGTGTGAATCTAATGGTGAAACTGCTCTTCATATTTTTGTTTCCTGTCTTGTAGCTAGCAGCATCTGGGATTGGTTCTTTTCTCTCTTTGGATGCAGGTGGGATACCCCAGTGAGCTTGGGAAGACTGTTTGAATCCTCCACTTTCAGGTGGCCAAAAAGAAGAGGAAAAACTCTGTGGAGATGCACACGGGCAGCAGTAACTGGAGGACTGTGGATGAAATCGATGGATTTATTCTCAGATTTTACTGTGGATGATATAATCAGGAACTGGAGGACTGTAGCATCCTCGTCATCTGCAAAAAAGAAGGCAGTAAGAAGTTGGGATCCTCCTGAATCTGGATTCCTCAAATTAAACCTTGATGGGAGCAGTTTTGGCAACCTGGGCATGGTTGGAATTGGTGGGGTCATAAGAGATGACATGGGGAGTGTAGTGGGGCTATTTTTCGGCCCTATTGGGTCTCCATTACAGCTGAACTAAAAGCAATGATCTTCGGAATACAAAAAGGCATGGAAATAGGTGTAAGAAAGTTGGTTGTAGAAGGCGACTCCAAAGTGATTATAAGCTGGCTAAAGCGGGATGGAAAGACTCCATGGGTATTCAGAAATGAGATCAAGAAAATTAATCACATTACAAAGGATATGCAGTTATTATTTCAGTGGATTCCAAGAGTAGCAAATGGGTTTGCGGACCAGCTAGCAAAGCAAGGGGCTAATAGGGAACATTGTTTTTGGGCTCTGTTGTAAGATTGTAAAGCAAATCTTAGGTGGAATGTTATTGGACATTGGGGTAGCCGAGGCTACCCAATTTCTGTACTAATTCTCGTATCATTTTATTAATAAAATCACTTTCATTGATCAAAGGAAAAAAAAAGATAGTTTGCAAGGTTTGTTTGTGATGTTGAAACAAATGGGTACTCATCTTAAATTATAGTTGCACCAATACTGATAAATAAAGTATAGTTACATCAATTCATTGAAAGGGTGTATAGATGTACATATGAAACTCATGTACAAGAAGTTGCTATATGGTAGGGCCTAGCAATGAGTGACCAATTAAAAAAAATCAAAGAATTATCTACACTTGATATACAAGAAATCATAAGAAAATAATATACAAAGGCTTGGACTTTCCTGAAATCCTTGTGAATGGCCAGGCATGAGGAAACTATGGCTACCAGCTTCCCTGGCACAACTTAAAATGGAGATACTTTGCTTGGGAAATTCTGGCATTTCATTCTCCCAAGATCACCCATATACCGATCAACGGGAATAAACTCTATATAGTTTTACCACTTTTGCTTACTCTTAAGATAACAACTCCTGAAAGTTTCCTTTGATGGATCTTGAAAAGCACTATCTCATATAGAAAATCTCCAGAAGATGGGCACAAAGATTGTTGCTGAAGTTGTATTGGAGCAAGCGATTTGCAGTTTCACATCCTTCTTGACATAGTATTCAATCCATATTTTGTAAAGACATACCTCAATCAACCAATTTGTCCTATATAAGTACCTGCCTAGCGTAGCTGTTGATGCTATAAACACCACCTTTGAAGTGGCCTGGGGGTCCCAAACCTTCACACCAGAGGGAAGTCCTCCCTCCCTAAGCACCAAGAAGACATGCAGCCTCTGAAGAACAAGCAAACCTTGAAGGTCTCAGAAGGGTCTCTTTATATTGCTTCTAACTTTGTTAAGAGATTAAGGACTTATCCAAATGTAGGTTTAACGAAGCTTTTTGACTTGATTATGAAATAAAGTTCATGATTCTACTTCAAGGTGGAGCTTTCCTTTATTAGGGAGGTTTTTCTGTTTTTCTGTTTTTCCCCATTATGTGTATGTGTATGTGGGGCATGTGGCCTGTGGAGAGGACCCAGAATACAAATAAGAGTTTGAAGAGTCCTACATGCCCTAAAGAACCTCAAGTTGACAAAGAACTTTAAGACCTTTGAAATGAACAGCATTAACCATATCTACTCTTTTTATTTGAGTGCACATTACAGTACAGTCAGGTCAGAAGATGAGGAGATGTAACATAAAATCATTTATGCAGCTCTATCATTATTATCTGACATTTGTTATTATGCTTTGCATCTCTCCTCCACGCAGGTATATCTCTTTGGATGTTTGTTGATGGTAATACTCTGTATCCTACTGTTGGTGGAGCATTCACCCCCTCTTTACCATGTGTATGTCACCATGACAGTGTTTCTATGGACACAAATATTCAGTGAATATCCATTTCTAAAAGTGCTGTGGGAACAACTATCTGGGAGAAAATTTAATTGTGCTGTTACACTCATAGCCTCTTGTGCCATGTCCATATTCATCCTTGAATTCCTGGTATGCATATCAAACATGCCTTTAATGTCCTTCCCTTGGTGGAACCTCTGTACATCCCATTGCTGATTTTTTTTTTTCTTCAGGTGAATAGCTTCACAGAGAGGAAGCTCTACACTTTATGCTTCCTTATTTTAGGAGTGGTTGCTGCATTTTATCTTTTCTACTTTGTTCCAGGGAAATCTGTGCTACCCTTCTTTATATGGATGTCTTGTTGGTTTCTGTCCATTTTCACTCTCATGCCTGCAGAAATTCCTGATAACACTAACTTAGTGTAAGTCATGTTGCCCAAGGTTTACACCTTCATTAATTTTGTTAGAAACTTATAATTGGATTGAAATCCTTGGTAGGGATGGAGTTTTAGAGTTCTTCAAGGATGATGACATGCTTAGAAATTCTTTTTCCCTTTTTTCCTTCATGGTAAATAAGCTGGGATTGAACTAGTGACCCACTGGTTGCTATTCACAGGCAAACCAGTTTTTTTTTTTGAAAATTGAATAGGATCAGATGGTTGAACTTGAAACTCAATGGTGCTTAAACATAATCCATTTGACATGTACATCATATTCTTAGTTACATGTAAAATGCAAGTCATGGGTACCATGTTTCTTCTGTTATATGTTAAACTATTTCCTGGTCTCAATTTCTGCTACTACTGTTTGCAATTTTTTTTTATCCAAACTCTAGGAATCCTAACATGTGGTGTAAGCACCCTCTTTTATTAGTAAATGAACCAATGTTCAAAACATTCCAAATAAAAGAGTTAAATGAGTCAAAATCTGAATTAAGGTGAGCTCTACTGAAATTGATGTTATCTCTTTCAACAGTCATGGCGGTATTAACACCACTATAACAATCATTATGACACACTCATAGTTATCTTCTGCAAATAGATGCACAGTATGTATCAGTAATCTTGGGTGGGCCTAAATCCTCAATCCAATCTTAACCATAGTGCAGTTCATGTTCTGAATTTCCAGCCCAGGCCCAACTATGTTTCTGAAAATGCTAGCTTGTATGTCCTTGAAAATTGTTGCTTTTGCCTTAGCCTTACCCGCATCCTACCATTATCATGACATATAGAATGTCCATCTTTTTTGTGTCTATGCAGTAAAAGGCTAGCTGCAATCCTAATTAATTAATTGATATTTTAATAATCTTGCTTCTTTCAACACTCATATATTTGTTAGGTCTAGTAAAATCCTAATTAATTAATTGATTAGATCAAATGTGTTAATCCTGATTGTTCTGTGAATTATATAACTATTTTACATGGTTATTGACTTCTCAGCAAGTAGAGTAATTTTTCTATTCTTTTTTTTTCCCTTAAACTATATTTGATTACTAAAAAATTAAGGTACCGCCAGTTTGAGATCAGCATTTTTTAACTCTTTGATCATGAATTGTTTGCCTATAGTGTTGCAAGTGGAGCCATGATAATCCTGATAGGAGTGGCAGGTAGGTGGTTTTATTTGAGTAACAAGAAGAGTAAATATTGGCTTGAGATCCTCAGCTACAACAAGCAAATTCCTAGATTACCAAACCTTTTTTACTTGCAGGTAAAAATAACTATGGTCCATCATGATACATTGTATTTTGTAACAACTTCATCTCTTTTACAAATATAATTCTCATCAGGATATGGAAACTCAACTATTTTTGTCTTGGGAGAGATCTGAACATAATATGTTATATTTTTCATGAACAGGCTATCCTGGTTGCGCTATCATCAATAATGGTGTCATTATCCACTTTTCACCGGACTCAGAAGCAAGAACTACTTGCACTACACCAGTTGATAAACTGGTCAGTAGCCGGTATGTTGTTGGCCTGTTCTTCCTGCTTTGCTGGCAATACTTTTGTGTAAAAAGAAATTCTGCTATATTGTAGTTTAGTTAATTACTTATTTTCACTAACAAAAGGGCATCTTGTATTACATTTTTCTTACCTCTCATAGATGGTGGCATTGTGATTGATGCTTGTTGGAATGTTTACTTTATTTATTATGTTTGTATTCTGCTGAGTTAGGGTCCGTTTGGACAAATTAAAGCAGTTTTTTCTTTTGTTTTTTATGCTGTAACTTAAGTAGGGGCATAAGGGTCCTTTCCCTTCTAATTATGGTCGCCCTATATATATTAACATAAACTGGCGCCGCCAGCACTGTAGCAGACTCCAAATCTCTCTCTTCTCTTCTCTCCTCTCTTCTCCTACCTCTCTTCTTCTCTGTTCGGCTGTTAATATGGTATCAGAGCGGTTCTGCTAGGCCTGTGAGCAGATCGAACAAGCTTCAACCTGCTGTCTTCTTCAACTGAGATAAAAAAAGTGCAAACCTACGACTGGTACAGATTTTTTTTAGTGTTTTTTTTCCTTTTCCTTGGTCGTGTACCAAGAAGAAATTAT